TACTTGATTTAGTTAGGCTCTTCAAAATTCCTTTACCTTGTGATTCCACAAATGAGATACTCTAACAAGGCCTCAAAATTTCTATGGGCTTGCCCAGATCTTTTGCTTTACTTTTACCACATACAGTCAAGACCACTGTATGTGGTACTCGCTTGGTTACTTTGCAAACAACTCATTCTTAAATATGTTCCCACATGTTACTCCTCTTCTTTCCATTGATAACTGACATGCCTCACTACTTCCCATCAGAAATGTCTGCTTCTGCAGAGAATGTCCCTATGCACTATTCTCATTCCCACAAAATCCTCTATATTGCCATGTTCTTACTGCTACATACCTCCTACAAATGATAATCAAGTACAACATTCTATAGTGTCATTCAAGTATTTCCTGTAAAGAAGCCTGTGGCAGAAAGCCACCTTGGTTTCTCCCCAAAAATCTCTGCCCTGTAACCATGTGTTTAAAATCTCTGCCCTGTGACCACACCCTCAGCCTGTCTCTTTAGGTAACTTGAGCTGGCTGCATTCCCGAGCGAGGGGGGAAATCTGCTCCCTCTGCCTACGTGACTTGCATCACTTACCTGGGTAAGGGTTTTCTACCTGGTGGGTTGGAATCTGCCCAGCAAATAGTGATGTATTTCAAATTGGTTGGCCGACAGCCAACCGGAGCTGGCCTCCATGGGCCCAGGTGTATGAGGTCACAGGGGCGATATAAGTTAGGACTGCCCGGAAGGCGGTCTCTTCGGCCATGAGGTGAGGCTGGAGGCATGGAGGGGGGAGTTCACAGAAGCTGTACTATCTAAAAGTAGCTTCTCCCCCAAAAACTCATGAACAAGGAACAGCTGGATGCTAGAAAGGATCTCACCAGCCTCTGGAGGAAGCATGTGAGTAAGCTACTCGAGATCTGATAGATATCTAGCTGGCAGTAACTCAGATGCGTGATCAAAAAGCTACCACAGCCAGACTGTTTGCTCTTTAGGATTTCTAAGATATTGCTCAATCTTGTACCCTGTTTTCACCCTACCCCTGTACTCAATAATGTCCCCTTTTGTGACTGGTGTGGGAGACATATTGAGGGGTGGGTCTAAATTATGCCTAAGAGACCCCTTAGGTCTGCGGACTAAGAGAGACTATACCTTTTTGCCCCCGGACTTGGGGAAGTGCCCCAAGTGCCTGTACTGCGTCGAGTACCCGTGGGACTGAAGGCCTGTGTTTTCCCCGAGGACGCAGGGCCGCGAGTGAGTCCATTCTCGGAGTGGTGGCGGCGACATTACCCCCAGGCTAGCGAGTGTGCTCCAGGGAGGGGGTCAGCCTGACATAAGGCGCCCCTAGGGAGGCATTCAGAGCCTGGAACGTGGTCGGGCGCAGGGAGATGGGTGGCTCGATGCATGAGCGCCCCCTACTGGCTTGCCACAAAGCCAACTCTATTTAAAGTCATCCAAAGATCATTGTCTTGAGTAGGAATTTTTCTGTTGAATTAGTTGGCCCTTGAATGAGGCCAGTTAGAACCCAACACACACTATGGAGGAAAAACCAACCCTTGGTCCCTTTTTTTCCAGAAATGGGGGGCACTTCTGTTTCTAATAGTGAGGTAAAATTCCTTTTGAATCAAATCAATGAATTTCCTTTAATATGGCAATAAGCGAATTAAAGAACTTTAATTCTTTTTTTCTGTTTTTGATATTCATGATATGAAAAATACAGGGAAACATGACTTATTTAACATTATTTTTATATTAACATGTGATAATATTTTGTAATTTTTAAAACATGTTTTTGGGATGCTCCATTACTTATAAGTAGTCAAGTCTCTAGTTATTCTACATGAAGATCAATAAAATCTAAACACCACACAGTAATGTAATATGTACATATAACATATTTTACGGGCAAGCTATTTTAGATATCTTTTAGAGAGTTGTAAACTGATTCTACTGTGACTATCTGCCAAGCCCTTAGCTTGTAAAGTTAGGTGTTTCAGTTATCATAAAAGAAAACTGCACAGTCCTCTAAGGCATAGGAATACTATAACTAAAATGATCCTAAAAGCTTTGTATATAAAAATATCAGGACATTAAATCTCAATATCCCCAGAACATCCAGTTATAAATATATTCTGTGTCTAATTTTACCTGTGGACCTGTTCATCCTCTACTTCTGGGAGATCTATAGGAAACGGGCAAGAGGGATACATCCCAAATCTAATCTCGGATTTTCCTTTCATGGTATTCATTTAAAGGGTGGGAGGTGCTCATCACCCAACCCTGCAGAACTATGACTTGGATCTCTTTCATCTTTCAAAGGTATGAATGAGAGGCATCATCATTCCCTCTGGGTTACTAAATACTGGTAATAAAACTTCAGTAGGGTTGGCCTGTTTAGGGTTTCTGCAGAAAATTTAAATAAGTAATAAAGTCTCTGGGGCCATGTCTGCATGAGACATTTGCTGCACAGATGACTAATTAGCTTCATAGTAAAAGTCTCTCTATCTACATGTGCACCCCTATTAGGCTGGAGTAAGCTAATTTACTCCACAGCAGGATAGTACTTGTATATACAAACAAAACATAACAGTGCAGAGAATGCCTGAATATTCAGCCTGTCCAGAGTTGCAGATGGGTCTGTGGTGCTGCATACTGCACATGCGTGCTTGTCTGGATGTGCCCAGAGATTTCAACTAGGACTCAATAATGTTAAAAGCATTGACCTGTTGTTATTTTCCTGAGTTTTTGCAACAGAAGAATTTCTCTCTTATTTTTCTATAGTCCAAAAATGAGTGTAAACTAAATGTTGACATTTTCTGAGGGGTGTCTTAAGGGTTACCATATTTCCAGTATCAAAAAAGAGGACACCTGGGGGGAGGAGGGAAGGGTCTAAGGGGGAGAAGGAGGAAAGGGGGAAGGGGTATATGATTGGGGGGGTATTGATATGCTCATTCCCTACCTCTGCCCCTCAGCCCTAAGCCACAGCCCCCCAGCCCTGCTGCTGCCTCTCACTCTTGACTCACTGTACTCTGCCTCCCAGCCCTGCTGGTTCCCCTCACTCCCAACCTGCAGCCTCCTACCCTCCAGCCTTGCCAGTTCCCCTCACTCCCAACCCACAGGCCCCTGCCCCCCAGCCCTGCTGCCTACACAGCTAGCACATGCAAGCACACACACATACTCTTTCTGTATCTGTGTCTCTTTCTGTCTCTCTTACCTGCAAGCAGTTGCAGAGGCCTGCACATAGAGCATGTGATTCCCCAACAGCCAATCATCTTCCCTCACTGCTCCCAGCCCCAAGCAGCCAAGGTGCAAGTGCTGGGGAAAAACAGAGTCAGAGCAAAAGCCCGGACATTTGCTTGCATTTTAAAAACCCACCTAGACAGGATGACAGGGGACTGAAAAAGGCAATGTGTCTGGGAAAGCCAGGATGTATGGTAACCTTACCTGAGTCTAAAAAACAGTGTGAACCATTGGTATAAGGTGAGTAGGCAACATTTTTGGCTAGAGTGCTGAAAAAAATTGCAATGTCTACCTTGTAAGGCACCAGCGTGTCAGCATGCCAGAAAAATAAAACTAGGGTGGGGGGTACATGGCAGGACACACTGCATATTAATGTGATTAATAATCATAAATGTTGGGGGGGGTTAACAGTAAATACCAGGTTTTCTAAAAATTATAAAACTAGTGATAATAAATAAAACTTCATATACTACCTTTATTGTTGTGTATTTTTTTTTTTGTTATGCATGTTGTGATAAAAGAGAAAAAAAATAGAAGACAAAAAGGGGAAAGAGAGAAAATAGAGATGGGGGAATGAGAAAGGAAAAGAAAAAGAAAAAAAGAGGAGGAGAGAGGGGTAAAAAAGGAGGAGAGAGAGAGAGAACCAGACATACACTCAGAACCAGACACACACATGCACATGCAGACAGAAAACCACACAAACATTCGCATGCACACACAGGACCACACGTGTGCAAACACAGAACCAGACACACACACAAACACACACAGAGAACAGATACACACATATGCTCAGAACGAGACACAAATGCACACACAGAACTAGATACACACGTAAAGACAGAAACACACAGAACACACACAGATGCACATGCACAACCAAAGACACACACAGAACCAGACACACACGCATGCACAGCCAGGCTCCTGGGCCTCAGGACAAAGTCTGACCCAATAATGCCCTGGACCCACTGCAGCCCCTGTGCTGCCCCAGGGAGCCTGCACCCAGGCTGCAGCACAGCCTGCTTGGGCCCCAGCCCAGAGCTCACCCATCAGCCAGCTGCAGGCATAGAGCTAGAAGGAGGCTTGGGGGGGGCTAGAGCCCCCCCCCCATATTCACCTTAGCCGTATCATAGCCACACCTCCCAGCACTGCCATCATTTGTCTACCCCTCACTGCTGAGCTTGCAAAGGTGCAGTACTCCTGGCCAAGGTTCCCTCTAAACTGCATGCATGTGTGGCCATGCACAATTTAAAATCTTGCTGTGCATAAATTTTTTAATGTCGTGCACCTGCCCAGAGTGGAGCTGGGTGTGGAGCGTGGCAGAGGCATCCAGGCCGGTGTGGGACACTTACCAGAGGTAAGGTCCTCATGTAGGACAGGCAGCAGCTCCTCCCCAATGTGGGGGTGGGGCTGGGGGCTAGGGCTGGGGCAGAGTGCCTCCTCTCTCCTCGAGGTAAGGTGGGGGCTGGGACTGGGGGCTGGCACCAGGGAACTGCTCCTCCATTTCTGGGGAACTGCTCTGCTCCCCACCCCCAACACTATGTGCCTCCTTGCTCCCCAAGGCAAGGCAGGAGAGGGGGCTGGGGATGGGAGTGGGCATAGGCTACCTACCACTCAGGGGAGCTGTATCCTCAGCAAGAGAGAGATCTTCCTTAGTCTGCCCCATCTCTGCACCAAGATGTATGTAACTAATTTGCTTGTAAAAACAGTTTCAAAGAAGACAGGTATAAGAAGCAGTGTTTGTTCACAGGTTTATAAGCCAGAAAGGTGAGAGGAACTGATGATGCTGAAACCTCTCCATCATATAGAAACATTTGGCTAGGGTAATGTTGTTATGATTAATTTCATTTGGACTTTTACAATCTATTATATTTACTATTTATAGATTATATAGAAATGAAAAAAAAAACCCAAAAACAAAACAGCATTTAATTGACTGGCTTGAGTTGTGACCCTAAAAGGAATCTTCATGGTTGCAAAATGCACAGTAGTGGTGCTAGCATTAATTTACTGTAGGGGAAATTAAATGCAAAGGAAATAAAATAGTGACTGCTTGGGAAGCATCACCATAAATGCAAGGAAAGAACACACAAATAAGCAGTGAGCAAGAAGGTAATTCTGGGATGGTCTGAAGCAACGTGCACCAAGAAGAGGAGGCAAGACCAATTCAGGAAGGGACCGAAGCGGCGCACTCACGGACTGAAGCGGCACACTTATGGATCGCTACATGTTAGAAGAAACATTGCTTCTGGCAGGGGTACTGCCAACCTTTTCCTGGTGTGGCAGGGCTGGGGCTAGCCTTGGAGTGCATGAAAGCATGGCAGGCTCAGCTGCACAGGGTGGACAGGTGGTGGTGGTGGCAGGGTGGGCAGGCAGTGGCCTCCCAGCCCAGCCCATCTCCCCACACCAGGAAGAGGCTGGCACTGCCCCTGCTCCAGAGCCTTGGCATCAGCTCCTTACCAGTAGGTGTGTGTGTGCCTTGAAGTAGACAGCAGGGGAGGGACCTGAGGCAGCGCAATCCTGGCCCCTCCCCTGCCATCTGCTATGAAGCACTTGCACAATTGCCACCAGCACAGAGCTGATGCCAGGGCTCTGGAGCCCAGTGCAGCTGTTTATAGCCAATCCTGGGCAGCTGCAGCTAGCAGTAGGCAAGCTGCAAACAGCTGCACCAAGCTCTAGAGCCCTGGCATTAGCTCCATGCTGGTGGCAGCTGCACATGCACCTCAGAGCAGACAGCATGGGAGGGGCCAGCATTGCACTGCCTCAGCCCCCTCCCCTGCCATCTGCTCTGAGGCATGCATACAGCCACTGGTGGCACACAGGTGATGCCAGCGCTCTGGATCCCAGCACAGCTGCTTGCAGCCTCCTGGCTGCAGCCAATCCAGACTCTGTGTAGCTGCTGTCAGCCATGGAGCCAGGGCTGCTTGCAGCAGGACTTGCAAGCTCCCAGATACCTGCTGGGAACAGCCTGGGCTCTGTGGCTGGCAGCAGCTGCCCAGAGCCTGGGCCAGTATTGGCATACCAAGAAAAATGTCCTCGTGTGTCATGCTCTGGCACGTGTGCCAGGGGTTTCCTACCCCTGATACAGAGGATTATAAAAGAATAAATATCCTGAATGCAATTCACCTCTACCTTCCTTTATGAAGCCATGGGTGTTCAGAAAAATCAGGATTCTCCAGCTTCATGAGAGCTCTGAAACAACCTAAATCCTCTTCATCTATTGAAACAGCCAAAATCTAATGGCTCGGTTTTTGCATTTTTATATCCCTTTGTCCTTTCTCAGGAGTTTTCCTGATTATCCCCATCAGGTAATCATAGCCCCCTGCTGGGTAAATTTGTTGCCAAGGCAACCTCTCCCCTGACAAACCATTTCTCCCTGATACCAGCTTGCTTATTAGGTAGGATATTTGTATTTGAATAGTGAACCATCTTCATTTAGCAACTTTCTATTGTTACATGTTCCACCACCTGCTAAAATTTTCAGTCCAATATGGAGGTAGAAAGAACATAGTTTTTTTTTTTCAAGGCTCACATAAACTTGATATACATTTGCACCTTCATAAAAGCACAGAAAGTTCATAACTTCATAAAGAGTTCATAAACAGTAGAGACAGATTTGCCCAAGCATATCTTAAAAATACTGGGTCAGCAGGATGTTTCCTCCCTTGTAACTTCTGTCCAATACCTACCCCTCTTTCCAATCTGAATCTTGCAACCTTCTCCCCTCTCTGATCTCTGTTCCAATCCCTTTAGAAAGGCAAGGATGAAGAGGAATAATTTTGCTTCCTCTCCCAAGCATCATTCACAAATAAAACATATTTTTTGAAAAATAGTTTGAAGGTTTTCAGTACTCAGCCACATTTCCCTTAAATAATTTCTCCCAACAGTCAGATTTTTAACAACATTTGCAGATTTTTACCAAGGGTACAGTGTGAATTAACTACTTGGTGTAGTCAGGTTCAATAGTCACAACATTCACTCATAACTAACAGAATAGTCTTTCTGCCCATTCATACTGCTCTTCATTTAGCATATGAGCATTAGGAATACACCAAACTAGAAAGATGGAATAGCATCTTCAGTGTTATTTCTCCTAGGTGAAGGAGGGTGCCAAGTATTACCGGAGATTTATGTAGAACACTTGAGACCACTTAGGGTGAATCACAGACATTATTTTATTCTCAGATCCACACAGGAAAAGAAAAGCAAAAATAAGAAAAATAAAGCAATAGTAAAATACCAACCTTACAGAATGTTGGTACTGAAGAGGGAAGCATCCTGGGAACCGCCTCTTTACCTGATCCCAGATTTGCACGAGTATACCTTCTTTAAATCTTTGCTATGAAGGGTGCAAAATCCTACTAAGAAGTTTGGGCTAGATTGTTAGATTCTGTCTTTAAGCAAAACCCCATGAGTTTCTTCATATATAGCACTACTCTAGAAGTAACTGTGGGCCCTTGTACAGGTGACGAACGGCCCTTGTACACATGAAGAAATTGCCCCTTTTAGTGGTTTAATTGCCCTTTTTAACTATTTAATTTCATAACAGTGTACACGTTCAGCGGCATACAGTGTACACCTTTGGTGGTGTAGTTCGATTTAAATGACATTTTTTACGTAGCAAACTAAAACACATCCTATGTATTTTAGTTTACTATGTAACAAATTACAACTATGTTCCTCACATGTACAAGGGCCCTATCTGGAGAAGGGGGTGGGCACAATGCATAGGCTGCTGGATGCCCAGGTGTGCTCGGGGAAGCTCAGACTTGGCGGGCTTCCAGTGCCCTATGCACCATTTCTGCCACCTTCTCCAGCTGCCAGCACACCCAGCCTCCCTCCTTCCTTCCTGGGGCAGTCAGCCCATTCCTGGGAAGTCCCAGGAGGTGGGAAGTTAGTGGGGACAGTGCACAGGGTGCTCTAAACCTGCCAAGCCCAAGTTTCCCCGAGCATGTTCGGGCTTACAGCACCCCATACAAAGTTGGGTCCAGCAGGTGCTGTCTGTGAGCTGGGGCTGCACCCACACACCTAGCACCCTACCCAGGTGGCCACGGGGGACATCGCCACTGTGGAGGGAAGCACTTCCCCTCCCCCCCTCAGCTCAGGGGCTGCATGACTCAGTGGCAGCTCATGTGGGCAGGCTCCACTGAGAATAAAAAAATTAAAAGCAGTGAGGGGCCTGGTCTTTTTTTTTTCTTTTTTTTTCTCTTGGAGCCTGCCTGCATTTCCCACAGCTGGGGAGTGAGCTGCCAGCAGGTCGTACAGCCTTTGAGCTGTGGTGGACCCTGGTGCTTCCCTCCATGGTGGTGATGCCCCTCCCCCAGGCAGCATCCATGCACTGGCACTCTGCCCAGGCAGTCCCGTGGGGCACTGCCACCATGCAAGGAAGCACTGGGGTTCCCCACAGCTCAGGGGCTACATGACTTCCCAGCTATGGGAGATGCAGGCAGGCTCCAGGGGGAAAAAAAAATCACTGTTTTTTTCTTCTTTTTTTTTCTCAGCAGAGCCTGCCTGTGTGAGCTGTGGGTGGGGGCATGGTGCTTCCCTCCATGGTGGTGGTGCCCCCTGGAACTGCCCCAGCAGAGTGCCAGCAGGCAGGTGCTGCCCAGGGGTGTTACCACCATGAAGGGAAAGCACCGGGGCCCCCCACAGCTCAGGGCACATTGGCATGTCACCCCCTAGCTGTGGGAGATGAAGACAGGCTCTGGAAAAAAAGAAAAAAGGACCCCCCCCCCCCCCTGAAGCCTTCCCTCAGTTCCATGGTGGGGAAGGGTGGGGGGACACATGTACAAGAAGCCTATGAGGGGACAGTGCTTGAGACAGTTACTTCCCACCTATCCCTGTGCTCCTGTTGCACACAATATTTCCTGGGCTGGCCTCTTTATACCAGTGTGGTAAGGGGGGCATACTTTCTATTCACTTACTGTCCTGCTTTAGAGATGCTTACTGTATGACCCTACTCCCTTGGGGGAGAGTACAATTACTATAGTCGATAAGCTACCAATTTAATTCAAGTATGTTGTAAAAATTAGACCTGACGAAGAATATCTTGCATTCAAAAGCTTGTCTAATGTTATCCCTGCTACATACTTGGTCCAATAAAAGATATCAGCCTAAGAAATCCTTGCCTCTTGCATAATTTCTGGAATAGCATGGCTAAAACATCACTCTTACATTACTGTACAGAGAAAGGCAACTTTATCTTATTAAAACACCTGGCAAATGCAATCATGATTTATAAAGTAGCATTGTTTCTTCTTGCCACCTATTTTTCAATGTCACTTTTTTCTGATATTTGAAAGAATGCAGCCCAACTGGGGAAAAAAATATTATCCTACTTTTACACATTTTAACAGGACCAGGCTGGTAAATTTTACTGTATAATTCTGTACTATTAATTTAGGGTGAACTGAGAGGAACACAGAAAGAAGGCTTGTGCTTTGGAAGAATTTTTTCTAGTGACAATGATAGAGTTTTAAAACAAACAACATAGTTTTTTTGTTCTCATCTAGCTTTTATTATAATTCATCAAGTATTAGGTTAACGTCATTTTCAGCAATACCAGTTTTCTATTACTTTCCAAAATGGCATTACTTTCTTATAATTACATTTAAATGCATGTACCTTCTATTTGTCTTATTGAATGAAGAGCTCTTTGGAGAACAACATTCTTGTTTTGACATTTCCATAAAAAGTTCATTTTTTCCCTGTACCTCCAATGTTATACTACAGAGTTGACTTTACAGCTATTGCAACCTACAGAGTATCAAAGCTTTGCAAATAAAAGGTTACTGAAAGACATCTGGCAATAAAAAATTACAATTTGTGTTATCAGCCTCTGGTGTCCAGA